GAAGAATTATCGAAGATTTGTTGCTGCGCTTGTTGGACGTAACGAGACTGCCCTTCGGGGGGGTCCTGGGTCTACCCCTGAGATCATTTATATTGTTACCACGGCTCTTCTCGACACTTATGTGGTTGCTTTCCGCCATGTGTGGATAACTGCGGGGTGTTTCGTAGCTGTGGCGACTATAGGTAGGTCACCGCTTGCCAATATGTACCCTTGGTGCTAGGCTAATACTTGGTTCATAGCTTCCGCCTTTCTCATTGAAGAGGAGAAGGAATTCAACATGCGTATCGACAACCCCATTGAACGGAAAGAAGCAGGAAACGGTGCCCGCGGCAGAAGGGATATGGGTGTATAGGTGGTTGGCGTGAGTGGGTGCGCCATTCATGGTTGTTCATATACAGAGGTTAATTACAGGTTGCTTCTGTAAAAACTTGCCATAGCTTGTGATCGGGCGGGCATCTTCTGACCAAAAAGGGCGAACCCAGAACAGCATATGGGGGTGCAAAAGAGATGAGAATGATCAACAACAAGGAAAAGAATAAGAGAAGTAAAGACACTGAAAAGAAAAACGGAAACTGGGTAAAAGAGATGGGAATTGGGAGAAAAGAGCTTCTTCAGCGCAACCTATTTGCACTCGTTTGTTGCGTGATATTAAGCAGTACTCCAGTGTTGGTTTCTAAGACTCCTTGGCCGTCTCGCTGGAGGCCATCCGTGCCTCCGTACTGTTACCTAACTCCAGGCATCTTTGTTTTTACGTTGCAACAATCTTGACAGAGTTTCTGTGGAGTTTCTCGAATGTTGCACCTCTTTCTACCAGATAATTCAGCATCTTGACAAAATGGAGGATCACGCGCGGATGGCGGTTCAAAGCCCTGATGGAGTACCCTTCAAGAGCTGTCTCCAGTGCCCATCGAAGTTGGCTAGGCTTGACCGGTTGCTTGGCTCCTTCCTCCATCATTGTTTTGAAGAGGGCTGCCTCCATCTGGAGTTTTTCTTCGTCAGGCTGGCGGAGGTTATCAGCCATTTCATCGCCGTTATTGTCCAATTCTTCCCCATTAATAACAACGTCGGCGGTAATAGGTTCCGTGTCCCATGGCTCCTCCACGTCCATCCATTCTTCTTCTTTCATTTTCATACCTTTTTGCTCGTCCCTAGTACGGTGAAGAATGTGTTCAAGAGGTGACAACCAGTGAGTTCCTCTAGAGATCGGGTTGTAAATGCTCTTCCTCCGCCAGCTTTCCCTGCCTGGATCCGCCCAGGGTGCCCATCTGGCCCCACGGCGAATCAGCAACTGGGCAAGCCCGAGGTATTGCGATTTCATGGCCCAGATTGTATGCCAAAGGGGCGTGAATGGACAAGGCAGTATGTCGCTTGGGACGTTGGCGGACTGTCCGTACTGGAAGACGCTCTGGAAAAAATTGCCGACCCCGAAGTTGACATCGTACCCTTTGTCAGGTAGGAATTCCAAGACAGCTACCCGCCCTTGAAATCTGCTCTTCAGAAATGTACAAGTCCAACCCCCAGTCGGAGAGAGCGGCAACCACGATTACTTCGCTTGTGGGATAGCCTCCGTCTGGGTGCCGCCAACGAATCCGGGCGCCCTTGTCTATCAAGACCTTGACCATATCCTTGCGGCCTTGCCAGGCGGCCAGACCCAGAGCGGTGACCATGTAATTGGTGCATGGTTTAGACAGGTGCAACACCTCCGCCCACTTGTTGAAACGGCTGGGCCCCCGAAACTGCTCATCTCCTTCCGATTCCTGGCACCTATTGATTATCGCTTCCACCATGTCAATGTTCCCGCTGAGGGCGGCCAATATCAAAGGCGTGGGATCCCGGACTTTTGCCATATTCTTTTGGGGATTGCTCGGGGGGGAAAGGTTAACCACCATGGGTTTCGGCACCCCGTGCAGTGAAGATGGCCCTCGGTGCTATCCCTCGTGGCGTAAAGATAGTCCTCGCTGCCCTGGACTCGGTATTCATCTAGAGCGGATAGAGCTAGCTCGACGTCGCCCATGAGGATCGCCCAACAACCCGCGGTTATCGGAGGTGTCGACTGTAGTAGGGGATACCCTCCGTAGCCGGAATCGAGGCGCTGTTTCAGTTTACGTGCATCGGCGCGGAACATGAGCTTTTGAAGCCGTCGAGTCGTATTCGAGTTTTCGAGGCCTTGGTACGCTCGCATTAGGTTATGGATGTCGTACCAGTTGTCGAGGTGATCCATAACAGACAAGACAAGCTCAACCGGAAGTGTCGTGAGCGTGGAGCGACGAGGAGTACTCATGGTTGGTATGAAAAGACCGGTCCGGCGACCGGTGATCTTGTATTTGCCGCTTGGGTACATGAAGAGATTTTAGGGCGGCCACCAGTCGACTTGCTGCTGTTCGTGCAGCAGAAAAGCCAGGGGACTCCAGGATGCCATGCCGAGGTATATGTAGCCTTGACGCGAACGTAGACAACAACGAGGGCTTCAAGGAACTCTTTAACTGATATTGTTCAACGCGGCCGTCCTAACAGCTCGATGCAGCAGTGGTGCCATGATGCGGTGGCATGACGTGACGTATGTTACTGTTATTCAAGCCACAGACGGCACTCTCCACGGTTCGTTGTCAACATGCGAATCAACCTACGGCTGTTGCTGGCACAATGGAGGACATTTTCTTGCCCCATCGTTGAACAACGGCACTGTGCATAAACCTTGAACCATGGGACTGTTATGTTGTAGGTTTGGTGGATACAACGTTAGGCAATGGCGATGTAAGTTCTGACGGCTAAACCTCCTTACTCAAGCCCACTGGCCATGTGGCAATGGGCTCGTTTGCCTAGGTTTTGTGGGACTATTCCACTTGTCAGCAGCTCATTTTTGTGTTCTCTAACGTGCTTTCAGTTACCTCTGCAACTTCGAATTGGCACCTCTGGTGGTGGCTACCGATGTAACTAAGGTAGATACATAGCTTTGTTGCTGGACTGTCGTGGGACGGCATGTACATTCATACACTGTTCACATGATGGTTCATATTCTACTATGTAGATCTTAGTGGTTGAGATGGGACAGTATGGAGTTTGCTGTGGAACAGGATGTGTCCAAAAAGGAAATTTCCCACGAGACGGCGTGCGCAAAAAAAAAAGAGCTCAGTGGGGAGCGGCCAGACCTCCCTCTCGGCCCCACTTAGCGGGATCCGCTCCTGGAAGCTGGCTGGGATCATCGGCCCAGCAAAGAGAATGGCAATCGGAAATCGGCACTCTCTGCCACTGTTGATTCCGTTCCTTCATGCAGGCGGAGAGGATGGGAAAGTTCGCGTAACTCCTCAGCTCCTGTAATTTGGGGGCCATTCGTTTTAATGCCCAGACCTTGCAACCGCATTGTCAAAACATGAGTGTTCTTATGTCCCAAGGCTTGGGAGTTCCAACCCACAAGCCAGACGCGGGAAGTTGCCGTCGAGGTCGTCGCGTGCCATCTCGCGTGCCATCCGCAGTGATCAAAAGATAAAGTTCTGACACGGTTTGGGAACCTCGACATCGGACCAATGACGTAATGCCAATTGTGCTCCATCATCGACCATTACCTCATGCACGCAGGATCTCGCAATCGGTTTCCAAAAGAAGTCCGCATCGGGCAGCCGGACTACCGGCGCGCCGCGTTCGTCAAGCCCAACTTGTGGACCACGATTTGTCTCGGAGGTTCAGAGAAGTGCTTCCCGACCCAATGCACGACGCTTGGCATGCGAATCATGACCCGATCGTTCATCTAGGATGTCGCACGAGTCCAAAGGACTGTTTCCAGCCCCTCTCAGATGTCTGTATAAGGGGTTGGGTCCCGTTCATCTTCAAACAACGTAGCTGTACGAAATACGACGTAACCAGACGGACTCATGCGGGCACCTCGTCGTCAACCGTTGGCGCATGGCCTGGGTGCACCCGCACACCCGGAGGTTGGACAGTCTCCGACAATGGTGGAGGCACCAAGCTCGCGCCGGGCCCGTTGGAGATCAGGTCATGGACCCCACCACCACGCCTGCGTTTCCGTTCCGACTTATCCGGCCGAGCCTTGGGATATCTTGGCTGTCAGAAAAAGGGTATCATTCTCGGGCTGCCGAGGGAGGGGACCTCCAACGTCCTCCCTACACAGTAAGCAAGACACGCTCACAGCCTCTTGCCTAACGTGCTTCTGTACTGTGTGGGGGAGCAATGGAGAGCGCGAGAGAGCTTTGATGACCGCAAGGTTCTTTGTCTCCTCGTCTCCTACACAGTACGCATCGACTGGGTGGAGAACAGCTTGAGAGGACTGGGAAGGCGAGGAACATGGATTGGTTGAATCACCGAGGCACTGATGATGGGGCCAGGAAGGAGCGGGTTGCAAGCCCTATCATGGACAAGAACGCGCCTTCGATCTTGGTTACCCTTGGGCGAAGGGGAATCGCAACTGCCTGCCAACCGTAAGTCTGCGCTTGGCAGTCTCGGCCGTCTGATGTTTCCCGATGTGTTCGACTGACGTCGGGTCCGTGAGTCCGGGCGGACCTCGTCTTTGCTTCTCCTCTCTTCATTCTCATATATCGGTCTCATCGCCTGTTCCTTCCATCCCATCGTAACCCAGACGGCCGTCTAAGGCAAGACCAACGGCCTGCGCCTCTGTTTCACTCGCAAAGATGGCGCTCGGTGCCGTGTTGGAACCTCTGATCGTGGTCAGCTTGTTGGCCTTTGGCACCATCGTCAACCGCAACAGAAGCCGCGCTGTCCTGGCCCGCTCACCACTCTCCACGAGCCGACCCGAACCGTGGCAGCACCTCAAATACAGCGCCGATTCAGAGGATGAGGACGTCGAGGCTGGTAGAGGCAAGGAGGACGAGCGCACCTTGCTGCCCTCGTCACTGAGTCGGTCTAGCAATAGCTCGAGTAGCACACTGGCAGAGGACCTCTCCACCGACAACAAGGTGACTTCGAAGTGGCAGAAACGGAGGTTGCGCTTCATGGGTTGGGAAATGGAAGTGACAACGCCCAACACCGGAATCTTCAAGGACCGCTTCTTGAGTAGGGTGCTGCAACGGTTTCCCATTCCTCGCTGAGGTCTGGTACTGGGCTCTTATCTACTGGGTGTGTGGTCCTACTATCACTCCTCTCCCCTCCTCCCCCTTCGCCCCAGTGCCCTGGCAAACTTGCTGCTCACACACTGCTAGGTATATCAACTCGGACGAGCCTTCACTGCCGTGACACTCCAAGAAGACACCGTCGACACTGCCCGCGAGCATGGGCTCCAGGTCATCCGCCTCGAACAGGCCCTGGGCATCTTCGTCGAGCCCGCTGTGCAGCAATGGTTTCTCGAGCGCCCCACGCTCATGCGGTGGACAAACAAGACGTACTCGTTCATACACATCCCCGGCACAATCCTCTACCTCATCGTGCTCTACCACATCACGACCGCGAGGCCACGACACAAGTTGCAGGAAGAACACGGCGGGAAATCGGTGCTTGAGAACTGGAGAGACCTTGCGCCGCCTTTCGGGCCCGCCATCTTTGAACGGAGGCGGAGGACCATGGCCATGTGTAACTTGCTCGCCTTCATCGTCTTTACCCTCTGGCCATGCATGCCGCCGCGGTTGCTGAGCGATCCGAGCTACATGGGCGAGTACGCGCAGGAGGCCAAGAGCTTTGGGTTTGTGGATACTGTCCACGGCGCCGACGGCGACAGCAGTGTTTGGACGACCAACCGGTTCTGCAACCAATACGGTAAGTGCTCAACAGCTGATCTTGTGTTCTGTGTCAATATACTCATTGAGCTTCCCGTTCAGCTGCCATGCCTTCCCTTCACTTCGGTTACTCCTTCCTCGTCGGCCTTACCATTGCCGCCGTGCCCCTGAGGAGGCGTGGCCGGTTCGGATGGAGGCGTCTGGCCATCGTTGGCCTCGGCATGGTCTACCCTGCCGTCATCTTGACCGCAATCGTTGCAACGGCAAACCATTATATCCTGGATGCGGTCGCTGGCGCCATCGCCTGCTTGCTTGCCTGGAACTTCAACGACCTCCTGCTGAACCTACTGCCCCTGGAGGACTATTTCTTGGCGTTGGTCAGGATACGTAAGCCTTGATAATAATTTTGGGTCAATGAATAATTACTGGGACATATTTGCAGCGCGAATGGTAGTGGTTGCTAGGAAAACCACCTAATCTACGCGGAAGGGATGTTGCGTTATTAGATCCGGAGCATGGTACATGGTGGCATGTTGTTGATTAGATGAGGATACCCATGGCAAGGACACGGGAGTCAACAAAGCGGGATGGGGTTGATTGTACATCTTAGCGTGCTGTATAAACGTCAAAGTAGGACACTTTATTCTGCCATCTCCGTTTTCGTCTTCCCGCACTACCTATTATCCGCCACCTCATGACCAGTTCCAATTAGCAGAATATTGCATGTGGGTGGTAGCGGATGGGGCATTGTCATCGTGCCGACGCCATCCAACATTTTGCTGAGGGCACTAGAATCGATAACTAGTGCTCGTACATACAAGGTACAAACATGAAAAGGGGCTTTGGGGCTTTCCCCTCCTATATCACAGCCACAGCCAGGCTTGATTCCACACCTGATACCGCGATTTTGTTTAGCCAGGGCCGTGGAAACTAGAGATTGATGCCCTCTTGTTGTCGGCGGTGCAAGAGTCAGGTCCAAGATCAACTTACAAGGCATTCTGTGGCCGAAAAAGGCTGAACTCCAAGTCGAGGTGCGGCCGAAACCTTGGACTTGAATACGAAAAGAAAGCGATTCGAAAGCATGAAGGCTAGTTTTTATTTCACTTGGCTTCTTTTCTGTAATTCATTAAACTCGGTTTTCTCTATCTTTTATCTTTCTTCGGTTTTTCCTTTTTTTTTTTTTTTTTTCTTCTGCTTCTAGTTATCACTTTTCTTGATTTCTTGCTCCCGCTTCGAGTTCGGCATTTACCTTTCGCAAAAGGGAGAAAGGGAGTTACACGGACCGTTTTGCCGCAAAATTATACGAATAACTACGCGTATATGGCCGGATGACAGAATCCACATCCAAAGTAGCGAGGGTATTTTATTTTGCGCACATTACGTTGGTATAGGGGTAGGCGTGGATCCTTGCGACGGCAACGGCGGCACGGTCAAGTCCTCAACTCCTGTCCCACTGCGAAGTACACCACCTGCCACACCCTGAAGTCCGGAATGGGAGCGGTAACAACTAAATAGCCACTGATACAATGTAAACCCTGCTCTCTGGTCCTCCCCTAACCATTCCCTGATAATACTACAATCCACCCGGACGGCGGCACCACCCTTATCAACTCAACAACTCGACACCACACTCGGTACCCAAGCACCACCCCAACAAACAGACATCTCCCAAACCCCGATCCCGCTATCACCACCACACTCAACTACATGTACCTTACCCAAACACCCACCCGCCCAGCTGCCTACCCCACCTAGGTACGGTACCTAGGTAGGTAGCGAGGTAGCCAGCCCAACTCAAGCGGCCTTCTCATCCTCGTCATACCAAGCATACGCAATCGCGTCATCGTCATCGCCGCCCGACTGGCCGGCTCCTTCGACCGAGGGGCTGCGGCGGTGGTCGCCTACGGTGGCGCCGGGGCTGCTGCGCACTGGTGGCGTGTTAGTGTAGAGTAAATAAACATGATTTCGTTAGGGGGTGCGGGATAGGGCACTAGGGGGTGCGGGATAGGGCACAGGGGAGGGGGGGTTTGAGTGAGTGGGGTGGGACTGGACTGGACTTACGCTGGGCGGCGTTCTTGGGGGAGGGCACCGCGAGGGCGAGGGCAGTCGGGGTGAGGAGGGTGAGGAGGAGGGTGCTGATGGGGCGCATGGTGGTGGGCTTTTTTGTTGTTGTTTGGTGGAGGTATGGGTTTGGGTTCGGGTTGGCGTGAGGGGTGGGTTTGGGTTGGGGTTGTTTCTGGACAATGGTGATGGAAGTTGAGAGGAAGAGAGAGACGTTCCGGGGACTGGAAGCGGTGATACTAGGGGAACATGTCCCCGTATAAATCCCAACGAGGCGCCGCGGTTCCCCAGGGTCTCGGCACTTGAAGCCGGGACCGACGGGTGCTGGTCCGTACCGAGTAAGCAGCAGTGGGTGACTCGAAATTGGACTCGGTGGTCATGGTTGCCTTGCTCACTTGCTGAGCCTGGTGTTCCAATATCATTCATACCTACATGATTACCAGCCTCATGCACCTGGCCTCACAAAAGATCCGACCGGGCGCGGAGATCACGGCAGTTGCAAGCCATCGATTGGCCGGCGTCGCCAATCATGTTGAGTGTTTTGTGCCACCCGCAGGCCAATGGTGTTTGAGAAGTGTGTCTTGGCCGGCCGGTGCGGGATTGGTCTCGAGGCGGAGCCGTTCGGCGTGTTGGTTGGTGAATGCTAAGGTAAGTAGCACGGCATGTAGGACTTGGGAAGAAGGACCTGTTCGCCCTGTGTTTGCAACCGCCGCGTGATACACAGTGTGAAGAGACGGAGGTACATGCGGCAGAAAGAATGGAGGGGACATAAAATGCGGCGCAGGCGGCGTAGTCAGCTCACTCAGGCGATCGCCGGCCGTGGGTTGACCCCGGGATACTGATAGGGCCATATCAATCAAACCATGTTGTTGTGTTCACTCATCATTGATAGCGCTTGGAACATGGGTGTTGAGACACCTGCCGAGAGTACCTCCCTACCTACCACCGACGGAAGACAAGTTGAGCTCACTTTCCACGGAACACGGAGCTATGGCTTTACTCAACGAGCGTCGCAGTTCGGAAAATCCAGGGGAAGAGTCGGCCCCTTTCATTCCTGGAGCAGACGGCACGTCTGATTTGGAAAAGGAGTCCCTCCTTTTGCCCTCCAGAGAGGGACAACGATGGCGGCACCTCGAATACCTTTTTTTCCACGCGGTGCTGATTTTTCTATACACTGTTCTTTTCGTTGTATTCACAGTACGAAAACGAGAATGCGGAGCCCCGGCGCTCCAAAGATTTATTATTATATTGTATGACGTCCAACATCAAGCGTCCCCTTCCAAGCTACTACGAAATATGAGGCTTACACGGCGCTCTAGCCCCCGGTTGAACAAGTTATCCAGTACGAAGCGAGGCCGGTCGACGGGCTAGCGGAGGGAAGCATATATGCTGGTTACCCACGAGCAGAATCCGAATCTGCGTGGAAGAGTCTCATGGATGGCGAGTACTAACCGTGTTGCCGAACGAGAGCGAACTTTGTAGATCTAACATCCATGCAGGTACCAACATCAAATTGCACCCCGATGAGATGGATAAACTGAATGAGACATCCCTGAGAATGAGAGATGGATCGGGGTCGTTGGCAGTGCTAGGAGTCTATCACGAGCTCCACTGCGTGGTAAAATCCCGTTCCGCTGCTGTGTTTGGAGGTATGCCTCGGATAACTGACAACTTCATCCACATTTTAGAAACGACTGCGGAAGTGGTTCTACCGGGAGTACTACTATCCAAACCAGACCGACCTCGAATTCAACGAGCGCATGACGCACGCAGGTGAGCCAACAATTCCACACCTACCACAACACCCAACCATCGCTAAGATAGCTAACTCCTTAATCTCCTGCTTTAGAGCATTGCCTCGAATTTCTCCGCCAGGCTTCCATGTGCCACGGCGATACCACCGTGACGTCGTTCAAGTGGCTCCACGATGCAGAGGGGCATGCCATTGAACCGACAACAAAAGAGGGGGCTCTGCATCGGTGTGTTAAGTGGGATAGCATCCAGACATGGGCAAGGTCGCGTCGCGTGGACTTGTTTGATCCCCATTTGCTTGTTCCAGAGCATGCTGGCGGTGATTCAGGGGGGCGGTAAATTGTGATGTGTCTGGAGGAATGACCGGCATGATAATAAACACCGAAGCATTGTTACTTTTCATTTTCTCAAGCTACACACCATTTGCAATCTACATGTACAATGTCCACCACGTATTCAATGATGCCCCGTTTGGTTATGCGTCCTCCACTTCTGGGCCCAGCTTATGAGCCGCACGATATCCCGACACTTTCTTGGGAATCCCCACCCCGTCACGCCGTCAAGGTCGGGGTCAATAGGCTCAAGATTAGTATCGGCATTACACATGATGGATTGCCGGAGGTAGTCGATGCAGTGGCGGATATGGCCTGGCTTCGCAAAATGGATCGGCTCGGTTCCATCCACGGCGGAATAATACCCATGGCGAATGGCATCCTGGTTTGAGATTGAGGTCAGCGGGTGGAGGTATTCCAGCTTAGCAAATTTACCGGGCCGTCTTACAAGGCAGTGAAGCTGATGAAATACCGCAAGGCCGTGGGGTACGGGGGATATTTCGGGGTGTTGAATGAATCCCCTACCCTCTGTCGCAGTGGGCGTATGTAAGTAGCTAAGCAAGCTAACGAGAGTGTAGTGACAGCTTACTTGGGAACACCTTATTCCACCAAATCTGTGATTCGTTGTTGCTAGGTCTCGCCGAAAACTGCCACCGGTAGTTGAAAGTATGATCAATCCGGCCGGGAGGTGCTGGAAGGACCGAGTATATCAGTACATTGCTTCGGATGCTAATGTCGTTGTAATTGGGTTCATTTTCCAGTGTGTAAACATACAAAACCAGTCCGATTCGGCACGGTCCCTTTCGATGTGCCGTCCCCAGATGAAGCCCGCTGTCCCAGACACCAGGGTGGCGGCGGCGGTTACGAGCACAAGCGTGACGAGCAAACAAGTTGTTGAATATGGCCCGTTGCGTGGTCCCTGCTTTTCTTGGCCCAAAGCTAGAAGGGGTAAATCATCATGCTCGTCGTCTTCAGTAGTGTCCCGAGAATGAACGGGTTCATATGTGATCTTGTTGGACATGGTCGACCTTGGCTGAGGGATTCGAATGGCGTGAAGGATACTCCTGCTCGTGATAAAGAGGCGTTACAACAAAAGTAGACTGGCATAACGGGACTTTGATAGAAGGACAGTCCCTATCCCTGTGGGTATTGCTGGTCTGCCTCTCGAACAGCGGCGAAGCAACAGCCGCATCCTACCTCGCACTATCGCGGGACATATTTCACGTGCAAGAAGGGAGCCATCTTCGGCAAGCACCGGGTTTGTACGCGCGGAATTACAGCGACGTCTACACAAGTATATGCACTGTGCGTGGCAGCCCGACAGGCAGTCTTAGCTTCGGCGGTTCTTGTGCGATTGCGTAACCTGGCGTCCAAAACCGAGTTCTTCAGATGGACCGAACCCGATAGGGCCGCCAAACCGACGACTTTTGGGACAGTGACGGAATGGAGGGTGATTGACCGGTTGGGCTGCGGACCGCGCCGCATGATCCCACCTCCAACGGCATTCAAAGGGCAGTTGGGGGCTGACAATGATGAGCGGTTCCGCAGTATGATAAATAACACCACCAAATGTGATGAGGCCCGATAACGTCCAATGATTTGTCAAGAATGTGTCGAATGTCTCAGTCGAGGTCGTACAACGGCCGGCGCTTAGTGTGAAGAGGCACAGCCAGCCCCATGGGGTAGCCACGGGAAGGGCCGGATATTTTGCTGCTTGGTGGCGCAACTCTGCGTCGGAGGATTAAGCAGGGGCTTTGGGATTCGCAGATTCACTGATCATTTTACGCCAGAGTTACACAGTCGGTGATGAATAGGGGTCGCGGGGCCGCAGTGTCGAATCATGTTTTGTCTGTGCCGTACGGAGAGCAAAGTCGAAGTGCTGGACATACATACACCATTTCCCGATGAAGCCATGATCTGTCGTCGAAAGAGATCGACCGGTTATCGGCCCGGCTCTCAGCCCTTCCACTCCGCCACCATAAGCCACAGGTTTGAACCGGCAGGCTGCTGGCCCCCCTTGAATTCGAAACGTGGGTCTGCCAGCTCAAAGACTTTGGCCCAATCATCCAGCTCTCGCTCATGTGAGTTCTGGAGTTCTGTCATGCAAAGGTCCATCGATCTACGAGTGTGTTGTTAGTTTGGGAATTACACCCGTAATTGCTGCGTCTAAGACACTCCCCACCAAAAAAACATACCGGAGGCGGTTTTCTTGCCACCGAGAGAGGACTCCCGGCTGAGGCAGCACATTGTCGTTCAACACGATCTTGGCACCCGGCTTAAGCGCGGGGATTAGACCACGCAGGATCTTGACGCAGTACTTGTCGGACCAGTTGTGCAGGATCCAGCGGAAGAAGTAGACGTCACCCCCTTTGACAGGTTGGTCCTCGAGAAGAAAGTCGTGCGTCATGAATCGGACACGATCTACTAGGTCGTTGGGCACCTCTTTCTCGGCCGCCTGGATGACGGGCTCCAGATCTTGCACGACAAACGAGAGGGCGGGGAATTTGCGAGCGATGGCAAAGCAGGCGAATCCCTGGGAGCCACCGACCTGTGTAGTATGATTGTTAGTTCGAACCGTGACACGCAAACCCAAAGATAGCGTCAAAACCTACGTCGACGACGGTCCCATTCCCGACCTCTCCCCAAGGGAGGTTGTCGACTACGTGGCTTAGTTCAAAACCGGTGCCCTCAGTAAAGGACCGCATGGCGTTACCAAACCTGCGGGCGCGCTCCGGAAACTGGGAGAACACTTGGTAGGTGGTGGCGTTCGTGTTATTTGCCAAGGCGAAACCCTACGATGCCGCAAACCTGATCAGAACCAGTCGTATCAATGTGTTCCCATACCACATACCGTCTCATTAGGTTCCTGCGAGCCCGGATACTTCTCCAGCGCATTGCACGTCTGGGCAGCACCCTGCCAGAGGTCATCGTTACTTGCGCCAACCCAGTCGTGGATGACGGGATCTTCTGCCAAAAGGCGGGACACGGCATTGTGGGCGACGACGCCGGGGCGGGGTTCTACGAAGATGTCCTTGATGATGGCATGGCGGATGATTTGGCGAACGTTGATCTCTGGTAGCCCGGTAGCCGCTGCGATGTCGGCAAATGAAGCCTCGGCACCAGGGGCAAAGGCGTGCGCGAGGCGAAAACGTGCGATGGCTTGTTGGCTGAGGAGCTCGTTGTGCTGTGTTGCAGCAGTGAGACAGGAGGCGCCCAAAGCAATGAGGGGATCATAAAACTAACCGTGTAGCTCATCAAATACTCTCGGGGCCCGAGAACCAAACGACGCAGCTCCTCGGTGTCATCGACAATAGCCACCCGGGCTGCCTCGGTTTCAGTCTCGGTTTTTGATACCAATGTGTCCTTGGGCCCGTCGACGTCGAAGGACGGCGTGGGAAGGTTATGAGAGGTGAGGTAGCTTTGCAGCGTCTCTGTGTTTGCGGCAATTCTCTTCGCCAACTCGACAATGCGTGGTTCGGGGGAGGCCATGATGGGAACAGAATGTAGGGCTGGGTGGTGTGCAAATGCGGATGCGAAGGTTGTCAGTCAGTACCGAGTATGAGAAATTGGAGAAAATTAGAGCTCGGGCATCAAAGGTTTGAGAAGGTGGTGAGATGATGACTGGATGCGTCCAGGTTGGGTTGCGCGCACCGTGTCTCAGGCAGATGGAAGCAAACACAAAAATGAACGACACCTTATCTCGGCTTGCAGCACCAACCAACAGAAATTGACAGAGCAGGCCGACCGGCCTATGGCCTGCCTGCCTTGTTCGGTACTCGTGCCCCTCAACTGCAGCGCACCCGGGCGGGGAACTCAATCGGTGGCCGTCGTGTCCGGCAGCTCTGTTTCCAGCCCCCAGTGGCCCCCCCACCACTGTCTAACTTTGCCTTCCGACTGCAGGAAGCCTGCGTCCAATATTAACGCAGGATTATTCCATACACGGCTCGCTGAGAAGGGGAACCGTCAGCCATGCCCATACATGTATCGAATGTCGGCTCGCCCGTGGCAGCCTAAGCACGATCCAGAGCTTTCGCGTCTCTTTCCCGTTCAAAAGCCCGTTGGCTTCGATGACAGTTTCTCGTTCTCCACCTCTGCACAGTGCCGGGCGCTGATCCTTCTTGCCAGCAGGCATACCTGTCGCCATGGCGTTGTCTCTCAGCACCAACATTGTCATTGTGTGTGCTGTGTTTATAGCGCTACCCATTATTGCGGTAGTTCTCAGGTTCTGGGCCCGCGCCGTTAGGCACAATGGTCTTTCTGGTGATGACTACCTGATCCTCCCCGGCTTGGTAAGACAACAGCCAAAGTCATGCGAAATACACTGCATAGTAATACGTCCGACCTCTAGCTATTCAGCGTGGCACTAAGCATCAATAACATTGTCGGTATGTCGCCATGTACCCTCATGCTCGTCACCGAATCTTGAGAACCCACACTTACGCACCTAAGCCGTTGCCTTGGGGAATCTAGGCGGTCACATACACATGGACGATGCTGGCAATATTGTGTTCGACCACACTTTGACCATTTTCTTGCAGGTATGCCATTGATGGGAGAACGTGCCTGAGAACAGTATGACTAACTCGGTCCCTGCGGTAGACCGAATTCGCAACGCAACTGCTATCGATCTTGTCGCTCGTATTCACGAAGCTGTCGATTGTCGTCTTTTACCGTCGCATCTTCAAAGGCAAAATCTTTTCGCTCATCAGCTCGATCTTGCTCGGAGCTGTGGCCGCTTGGGGAGTTGCCTTCTTCTTCGCGACACTCTTCGAGTGCATGCCCATTCCAATGGTATGGAAGACACTGTTTGGGACCCCTGACCATCAGGCCGTATGTTACGACTACCTCCCCATGTTTTGGGCCACGGCTATTAGCAACATGATTATGGACACGGCCATTCTGGCCGTCCCAATCCCATTTGTCTGGCGCTTGCACATGCCCCGGCGACAAAAGATTGCCGTCAGCGCTATCTTTTTGTTGGGCGCCTTGTGAGTTCTCCCTGTTCAAGTATCCTGGCAACCCATTTTCCGTGGAGCAGAGGCTAACGGGAGGGTGTCGGCGCAATTCAGTGTTGTCGGCATCAGCATCGCAAGAATATACTTCTTCTTCCTGTCCTCAGACAGCTACGCCAACGCGCTGGACATCACCGGTATGTATCACTAACACTCCCACGCGGCAAGACGACTTCATGCTAACCAGACCCACCGGCAACAGTGAACATCGCACCGACGCTCTACTGGACGGTAATCGAGGCCGCGGTCGCCGTGGTCAGTGCCTGCCTCCCCACGCTGCGTCCCCTCTTCACCGGCATCTCGCTTGATGCACTGCAAGACTTTGCGAGCAAGTTCTCGCTCCGCAGCGGCAACAAGTCGTTGGCCAGTTTCCGGAGCAACCAGGGAACTGCTACTAGCAACAGCCACAGCAACAACAACAAGTGGCACCTCTCGTTCCCCAACCACAGCGCGTCGTCGTCGGCTAAGATTGTGAACCGGGTCGAGGCGGTGCGCAGCCCGAGTGCAGAAGAGGCCCTTTTGGAGTTGCAGGACCAGCCCGGCGGGATTATGGTGTCGAAGGCCATTCACCAACAACGTTCTGATGTTTAGGGTGTTTTGGGCTGGGTGAAGAATACTTAATACTTGGTTTACGGGGAGGATGGGGTTCAGGGGTTACCTTGTGGCCGAAAACGCGTACATTTAAATGATGTAGATAATGAACGAGGAAAGGGGGGCGGTGCTCAGGGGCAGAGGGTTTCAAGCCCGAGGACACTCTAGCCGAAAGAAAAGCCGAACTCCAAGTGTAGCTGCCGTCGAAACCTTCGACTAGAGGAACGAAAAAGAGCCATGTGGAATCCCAAAGTCACCTCACTTTTCTATTTTACTCTTCTTGCTTTCTCTTTTTCTTAATTCTTTCCTCCCCATTTGACTTCGGCTTGTTTTCGGCCAGGGGGTGGAGGAGTAGTAACCCTAACCCTGTGAGATAAACCAGACTTGCCAAAAATTAGCGAAGCATGCATCATTCACTTCCACTCCGTTTGAGCTTTGCCTTGTGAATCAACAGAATTGGTGTGGGGTTGGGTTGGCTGCCTGGCTGCAATCCATCAATTGATGCGGATACTGGCAGACCGGTTGAGTCACCACCGACTCACTGGCAAGATTGGGTCGGTTTTTGCTCAACTGTGCATTTTATCTTGTTGGTTGAAATGTGGTTACAAAAGGTGGGGTCATATCGGATTGCCGTGGTTTCATTCGCTCGAGAAACAGCGCCACTGTCTTGCCAATGCTTGTTTGGGACTGAAGCTGGGGGTTGCTGGGCTCATTGCTGGGCTCATCGCATCATTGCCGATGCTGACGACAGAAGGTTGCGGAGGAGTTGTGGTACGTATAAAGAATGTAAACCTGCCGACCAGTGTAATTGTACATCCCACCTGGTCTTGCCCTTTCCAAGTTCACATAAACAATCCTTCCACTTTCAAGTCACACCCCGCTTTGCTTGCTGGCTTTGCAACTGCCTCCCTATCTTACGGTGAATCGCCCGCATCGATCCATCTATTTAATTAATAGCGACCTCGCGGCTTGTCAAACTCGAGTACAATATCATCTCACCAATTCCGAAATCATCAACTTTAACATCATTGCTCCCATATCATCACTAAAAACTTCCACCGAACAAGAGCGAAACCGCCCAGGATGTTTCACAACACTCACATTTGCGGCCTCTACTATGTCGTTCCCGGCCGACGCCTACCCGAACGCAAATACCTTCCCCAGTTGTCACTCTCAGCCAACACCAAGATTGTGTCGTCGACGAGCCGGACTACTCTGACCCAGAGCTTCGTCAATCCCCGGTCCGAGGTCATTTCTGAACTCAGATACACTTTCCCCCTCTATGATGGCGTCTCTGTTGTCGGTTTCATTTGCACCATCAACGGCGAGCGGGTCATCCGCGGCGTCGTCAAGGAGCGCGCGGAGGCGAAGAAGACCTACCAGGCCGCCGTCGACCGCGGCGAGACGGCTGGCCTTTTGGAGCAGCTACCCGCAGCAAGCGATGTATTCACCACCACTGTCGGCAATGTCCCCGCAAACGCAACTCTCAAAGTCGAAATTTCGTACCTTGGCGAGCTGAAACAAGATGCCGAAATAGATGGAATCCGTTTCACTATCCCAACGGGGATCGCACCTCGATACGGCAACTACCCCGGCGAGCTGCTGTCGAGTCCTGTCGACACAAAGGGCGGAATCAGCATCGTCGTTGATGTGGAGATGCCCGACGGGTCTAACGTCAAGAACATCCAGTCCCCATCGCACCCCATCTCCGTGACACTGGGCAATACCTCCGCGGGGGCCGCCAGTGGTGCCGACATGTCTCTCCAAAAAGCGTCGGCCACCCTTGCCCTGTCAACCACGGAACTGGGCGACGATTTTGTCCTTCGGGTGGTCGCCACCAATACCGGTAACCCGATCGCCGTTCTTGAGCAACATCCCACACTTGATAACCACCGCGCGTTGATGGCTACCTTGGTCCCGAAGTTCAACCTCCCCTCGACAAAGCCGGAGATTGTATTCCTCTGCGACCGGTCCGGTTCCATGGAAGGACCGAATGTGAGACACCTCAAAACCGCCTTGCACCTCTTCCTCAAGTCGCTGCCCGTGGGAGTCAAGTTCAATATCTGCTCCTTTGGTTCGCGCCACGAGTTCCTTTTCGGTAACAAGTCTCAAACCTATGATCAATCCTCGCTCGAGAAGGCCTCGCGCTATGTCGACGGTTTCAGCGCTGATTTCGGCGGCACCGATATCTACCATCCGATGGAAGATGTCATCAACAGACGCTACGCCGATATGGACTTGGAGGTCTTCCTGCTCACTGACGGCGAGATCTGGGACCAAAGTGCACTTTTTGAACTGCTGAACAAAAAGGTAGCAGAGAGCAACGGTAAAATCCGTGTATTTACCCTGGGAATTGGTAGTGGCGCCAGTCACGCCCTCGTCGAAGGCGTAGCCGCGGCCGGCAACGGTTTTTCGCAGTCGGTTGGCGACAACGAGAAGATGAACACCAAGGTCGTCCGCATGCTGAAGGCCTCTTTGATGCCGCACATCAACGACTACACGCTGGAGGTCAAGTATGCCAACGACGTGGCCGACACTTCCGCAGACGAGGACTTTGAGATTGTGGAGAAGGTCATGGACGGAATGACCATTGACGTACGGGAAGTCGAGAAGGATGAGGCGCCCAAGAAGCCCACCTCCCTCTTCGACGAGGCAGCCGACCCCGATGCCGAGATGCTTGACTCTTCCCTCGACGCTTCTGCGGGCGGCAAGTACTCGCATGTTCCGCCCGTCTCGGAGCCGAAGTTCCTACAAGCACCATTTCTCATTCCCGCGCTTTTTCCCTTCAACCGTACCACCGTGTACCTCCTCCTCTCTCCGGAAACCGCTCAGAAGCAACCCAAATCGGTCATCCTCCGCGGCACATTCGCCCACGGACCGGTCGAGCTGGATATTCCCGTCACCGTGCTGGCCGAAAAGTCCGAGACCATCCATCAGCTCGCCGCCCGCAAGGCGGTCAAGGAGCTGGAGGAGGGCCGTGGCTGGATCTACCACGCCAAGGACGCCGCCGGATCCCTCCTCAAGGACCAACACCCCGGCCGCTTCAGCGACATGGTCGAGCGCGAGGCGGTCCGCCTGGGCGTCACCTACCAAGTCGGCGGGAAATGGTGCAGCTTTGTCGCGGTCGAGGGGTCCCAGAACCCAAACGACCTACCCGAGCAACCCCCGCAATCACCAACCCCAGAGGTTGGCTTCGCCACACCATTTTCCTCCTCCACCATATCCTCCTCCGTCATCAAAACCCGATCCTTCCGCCACAGGAAGACGGCCGGGCGCAGCGCACCCCCACCCCCACCACCCGCCGCCCCCCGCGGCGCCATGCTGATGTCTTCGAGCCCTGTTCTCTTCTTCGGCGCCCCCCAGTACCCCGATAGCGACTCGGACGACGACATGGGATTCGCGCTGATTGACGACGGCTCGTCCGTGCCTGAGTCGAGCGTCGCCCTGACCATGGCCGCGGCGTCGGCTGCGACTAGCCACTACCCCGAGGGCGACGACGACGACGACGACGACGATGACATGGGATTCGGGCTCATGGACGACGGCCCGGCGGTGCCTGAGCCTAAGCTCGCGGTGCGGGAGGATGTGCTGGGCTCGCTGGTGGGGTTGCAGGCGTTTGATGGCGCGTGGCGGTGGGATGGGGTGGTGCCGGTGCTGGAGATGCTGGGGCTGGGTAGTGAGGATGGGGGGAAGGGAGCGGTGTTGTCGAAGAAGGCTGCTGCGGAAGGGCTGGGTGGCGCGTCGGATGTGTTGGCCACGGCGCTGGTGTTGGCGTTTTTGGAGGGCGCGATGGCGGACCGCAGGGAGGAGTGGGAGATGCTGGCGGATAAGGCTAGGTTGTGGCTGGAGGTGGCGTTGGTGGATCGGCGCGAGATGAGGAGCGTGGATGCGTTTTGTGAGGAGGTGAGGGCTTTTTGGGAGAGGGAGAGGGTGGTTGGGTAGGGGGTGGGTCGTGATGATTGCTGGAGAATGTACGTGTACGAATAGCGTTGGCTCGGTTTAGAGTCATTGGGTTGGGAACACCCTTTCGAGGACCTGGCTAGCGAAAAGATTGACTTGAGGAACTGCTAGCTTAGGGATCATAGCATAACGCGTGAGATCAGGAAACTTATAACCTTATAACTGCAATAGTCCCCATGACCCCGTTCTACCTAGCACCCCCTGAGCAAAAGAATAGATACCCATATGCCACCAACTCAATGCGTTGTAACGCAACCAAATCGCGCTCAACCTTAGGAAAGCAGTGTGTAATAGAACCCCCCACTACTACCCTCGATACTTTGACAACATCATTTGTTTATCTTGTTCAGTGCCCGATGCGCGGCTTGTCAAAGTTTGGTGCATGTGCCAACGGACTTGCAAGAGGACACAGCCACAGATAGTCGGCTGGGGTGTAGGTATCGGTAATCTTCTGGTCAGAGGGTGCTTGGGTACATAACTACTCGCCACGAAGTATCCGTGTAATAACATTGGTTTACAACGGGGAAAGAATTAACTTGATTGTGTTTGTGACTGATAGCCAGTAACTCGGAACGGTCCCTCGAATTTGGGAACAATTGAGCTGCACGCTTGTTTGGCTTCCCTGACGTAGCATGCTTCCATGTAGGTATTTAGACTCAGGTGCTCACAAAAGCCTAGAGTTACGTCGACGTCACATGTTGAACAGGAAAGTAGTTGGTTGTGCTCATGCTGATGTAACTGATCTGCTCCACGAGTGAACAAGGCGGAGCCAATGTGAACACATAGCAGTGCTTACAGGCCAATATATATCTCAGCTTAGCAGACTACAATACCTCCATTCGTTTCATAGGATTTCCCGGACACCAAACATTGACAGGCCCTTTTCAAGTCAATCTGGTCATTGTGGGTTTCAGTCCTATCCCCGCCAAAACACATCCACTGTAACAAGACTACCTACCACCAGAACCCAAACCCAGAGTAGTTACTTTGCTATCTCTTTGTTACTCAACATAACGGCAATCATGACAGACTTCAACAACCGCCGCAAGTCGGAGCAGTGCGCGGCAAGCGAGAGCCACCATGATGAAGCGGATGACACCCATTACCAAGATAGCACCGACAGTCTCGACCTGCTGCTTCTCCCCGACGGCGATGATGACGACCTCAACCCCAATCCCGACGACCACGATGCGAGGGAGCATCTCAGACCTAGCACCACAACCAAAATTATCACCATGGCTGTGGTCATCGTGGCGGTTTTATTGCTGGGTTTTGTCGTCGTCGAAGGCGCTCGCGCGCTTGCCAACATTGCTGCGACGGTCGTGTCCTGCATCCACATCTGTTGCGAACGGGGGCGGGCTATGATCGAGGCCGCAATCGACAGGGCCCACAGGCACGCTGTGGAATCGGAAGCTCGGATGGATGCTCTGTTGGAGAATCATAGAGCTCCCATAGATGATTTTAGTGCTCGGATGGATGAATTTAGAGCTCGCATGCATGATTATCACGCTCGCATGGATAACAGTTGGGCTGGGCGCAATCGTAATCATGATGGGGATCCCCTGGGTGGGTTTGGAGCTGGCCTGTATGATACTGAAGCTGATCTGGAGGATATTGGAGCTCTCCTGGATGATCTTTTAGCTGACTAGGGTGATTTATGAGACTAACCTGGGTGGTGTATGAGAGTCGAGTAGTTGGGGGTGGGATTGTACCTTGTGTAGGTATTGGTGCTGAGGCGGCGGTGAGGAATACCTAGAACAAAACCAACAGAAGAAAAATAGGAGAAGAGGATGAAGAGAAGAGGGAGCAGAGGAAAAGAAGGTAGGAAAGATCGGTGGCAGGAGACAAAAAATAATACTTCCGGGCACTCACTTTGAATTTTTAGCTTGGTGGGTGATATGTAAACACCAGAGGGGATAGAGTAGCTATGTTGACGCGGTCAACAAGACAGTGAATGTTGACATTTCGGCTTGTGAGATGCCATGGATTTGATTGACTACATGCAGGTAGGTACCTTACCTTTCGGTACTTAGGTTGCCATGCGAGCCGCAATTTGTCGCCGCTGACAAAGTCAAGCGAGGTGTGTTTTACCGAGGTCGTCGTTTCCAGCCCAATTAACTAATACAAGACCGCACTAGAATTTGAACAGAGAATCGTGATTAAGAGGGCCAGGACTCCGTGGCCTTGCCGGACTAGAATATCTCCGGCTCTGAGATAATACGCGGAGGAAAGCGGCCGACAGATCCGAGTCTCGGCATTTCTACAGCCAAAGCCTTCCGCGGTTGTTCTGTAGTATCTCTCGGGACGACCAACGGTTGCGGAGTTATGGTATCTCCTAAGGCGGGAACGGTACAATTTGGACAAAGGGCCGGGGTCCAAATCCGTATCGGCTGCTTCGAGGCTGGCTTCCGCGAGCGGATTCCGGTCCCGACGGCACAACTTATTGACGCATTTAAACAACCCCGCCGGAGGGAGATCAACATCTTCAGTTTGAGCATAAAAGTTACATATGCCATGGCCATTCTCACTTCCATCCTAGCTCACAACAAATCTTTCGCCTCACACAAGCATTTCACCACCCACTTACACGCCGAGCACAACACCAAAAGACCAATCTCTTAACACCAACAAACCCTTCCCAACCACCCCCACCCCAAAAAAAAAACAAAACCATGCCTCCCCAAAACCAAGCCGCCTGGCTCTCCGCCGCCAAAGCCCGACCCCTCGCCGTCGGCCCCGCCCCCTACACCCCGCCCGGTCCGGGCGAAATCGTGATCCGCAACGCCGCCGTGGCCATCAACCCGGTCGACTGGGTCAAGCAGCAGCTGGGCGACGTGCTGCTAACCCACATCCAATACCCCTTCATCCAGGGCGGCGACACGGCCGGCACCGTCGTCGAGGTCGGCCCGGGCCCGTCCCCGCGCTTCCGCGTCGGCGACCGCGTCGTCGGCGTCGCCATGTCCATCGCCGAGTCCGTCAACAACCCGGCCGAGGGCGCCTTCCAGCTGTATACCGTTCTGCGTGAGCACTTGGCGTCGCCGCTGCCGGAGGGGTTGAGCTTCGAGCAGGCTTGTGTGGTTCCGCTGGCGCTGTCGACCGCGGGGTATGGTTTGTTTCATGAAGAGTTTTTGGCGCTGGATATGCCGACTGTGCCAGCGCGCCGGGTGGATGGGGGGAAGCCGAGGGCGGTGATTGTCACGGGGGGCGCGACCAGTGTGGGCAGCAATGGCGTGCAGCTGGCGGTGGCGGCCGGCTATGAGGTCATCTCGACGGCGTCGCCCACGAACTTTGACTATGTCAAGAAGCTGGGCGCGAAGCATGTGTTTGATTATCATGAGGATACTGAGGCGTTGGTTGCCAAGGTTGTTGGTGTCTTGGAGGGCCGCTCTCTGGCGGGCGCGTTGGCCATCGGGGAGAATTCCATCGAACTGTCTGCTGCGGTGATGGAGCGTCACGCCGACACAACGCACAGGTTCATTGCGGCCGCGAACCCGCCGACAAGCCCAATCCCGGGGGTCCAGGTGAGGTTCATTGACACCAGGGATGCGGCCGAACCGGATGGGCACGTCGCTCGTATCTGGAAGGATTACTTGCCGCAGGCGCTGGAAGAGGGGCAGTTTGTCGCCGCGCCCAACGCCCATGTTGTTGGGAAGGGTTTGGAGAAGATCCAGGACGCGATGGATTTGCAGATGCAGGGTGTTTCCGCACAGAAGATAGTTGTTTCTTTGGACTGAGTAGCGTGTGGTGGATGATACTTGTAACACAACCTGAACTCCTATTCAAAGACTACATCTTTCTCTCTTCTCCGCCGTTCCAAGGGATACCCCTAATATAATTTGAAGACGAGAACAAGGAATAGCAAAGGAAACCATTCGTTAAGAAGGGGGTTCGAGCCACTTTGCCATAGCCACCCACCGACGCCGTGCGCTTCCACGCGAGCAACGGAGATGATGTTCTTGCCTCGAAGCATCATGAAGGTAGAATCCAGAACGCAATGAGTGGACTCCATCCGCTACAAGAAGGCCCTGAAAAGATGCGGTCAAGCACCGGTGGAGTCTAGCATGTTGGTGTTGTATCATGGATGTTTCGTCACAGCTGCAGGTCTTTTGTTTAAAGGTTTGTTCGGTTGCCTCCGTTAAGGTTGTGTGATCCGCATGAAGCTTTAATGCCGCGCCGTATACTTGGAAGTTTGGTAGTTAGAAAGCACGAATACTCCGCCCATCCTCGTTTCTTTCGGCACCCTCGTTGACAGGAAAAGCAGGGTGCCAGCACCAATGGTCGGGTTTTGATTGTCTGGTTGGTTCAGAAGCAAAGCCTTGCAACAGAACGATATTCTTGGCTACAGTCTCGAACGGAACCGACCAAGGTAGGTGTGGTTACCTTACCTAAGGTAGGCCAGCTTGGAACCGGGAGAGCAAGGGAGTGGTCAAGGACTCGAGGCCAAACAACCCTGGTGCTTGAATTCACAGCGCTTGGCAATCCCTTCTATTAGCCCGGCCACTTCTCTGGTAGCATCAGAGTCATGAACTTGCAAACGACCCCTGTCAGAAGATGGTAAGAAGGGCGGGAAAGGCACGACACAGGGCCGGGCCACTAGATAACCTCTCCGAACGGACCACTGCTGTGCAACACACCAACGCTAATCTTCAATAATATTCTCGGGCACTCCAGGAGTCCAGACTGCCGGCCACGCCAAGTACAGCGGGACTTTTCCCATGAGTAGAGGGCTGGTAATAGCGGCAGCTGATTCTGCAGTCGTACCCAATGATTGTGTCTACTTGGCAAGTTCAGCCACGTTTTTGCCCAGCGATCCCCCGTGCTTCCCCTCCTGTCAGCTCAGCCCAATATTATGTCCCCTTTCAACGCGGCCTAGCATTATGCTTCCCTTTCAGCTGAAGCCAATATTATGCAGGACTTTGGCCTCCACCCATGGGACTGGCTCGTAGACTGACAGCTCATGTAACCTCAACCCTTCGGGAAACAAATAATAAAGCCATGGCACTACAAGACACGTCCCCGAGCTCTAGGCCCTAGGCACAACCAAGTGGAAACCGTGTTTCTTTTCCTTTCAACAGCATTGGCAATTCTAGTTGCCGCTCTCCTATCTACCCGACCACCATCGGTGACATAACATGGCCGCAAGTGTTAATAGCACCGAAGGAACGAACGCTCATCGACCCGCAGGAGTATGGCATCATCTCCCCTGGAAACATGTGGCATGGCGTTGCGGAGCCTCCCTTGTACTCTGCATTACCCTCGCCATTATCCTCTTTGTCTTTGAGAGAATGGGAGTACTCGACAAATGGGAAAGGCGGGGTTTTAACACATTATCCATCCTGCTGTCGTCGCTCGTCAGCTTGTCTTTAGGCTCCCTGCTGGGGCTGTTGGGCGGGATGCTTCGCTGGCCCTTGCTGGCGAGGGGTCCTGCTTCGCCCCAGGATGTAAGATCAATCATTATTCGTTCATTAACTTTGTAGGATGCGGCATGGCTAACGCCGGGCGCAAAAGGTCGATCTTATCCTTGCCATGGCAGAGCCTACCGGCTCGTGTCGTCTCATCTGGCGTCATACCAAAGACGGACGATGGAACTTCACAACGTTGGTCACAGCATTGTACCTGTTGCTGAATGTCATCGGCCGGCTAAGCATTGCGACGCTTGGTTTAACATACGACACAAACGAGGATGTCACCATCGAGTATCCCGCTATGGCGACGGACTGGGGCTCTCAGGACTGGTTTAGCCTCCCGGTGAACGATTCCGGGGGGATGCTTCCGATTACCGCGAATACGGGAGCACGCATTGTGAGTCCTTCTACATTTTAAACCATGAGTCAGAGGCCATTCTTATGAATATTCGAGTCTTTGGCATATCGTGTTGACGGTTACTATGCAGCACGTATGAACGATTACGCAATGCGCGCGCTACTGATGAGTCCCATCAGCTTCAACGAAAGCGACCCTTCATCCCCGCTGGGTATGGAGGAGATAGCAGGCTTGACTCGGGTCTTTAACGGGACTCATGTTGAATACTCGTACCCCTTTCGTGAGTTCCGTGGCAATGTATCGTCACCATCGGAGACCGTTTTCCTACGAAGCTCATCAACGTGCACCCAAAAGCGGATTGAGGGTGTGGACGTCTATGAGATAATCCAAGAACAAGGTGAAAGCCCGCGCGAAATATTGATAGGAGACATCGGTAAGGCACCATATTTTTTAAACATAGGCACGGAATGATTCAGTTCCAGAGCTTCCGCTAATCGAACGTCATTGTCTTCAACCCATCTAGATGACCTTCCTCCCGGAAGTCTCGACATGGGTGTCATCCTAGACCACATTTTTGCAAAGCACAGAGATGAAACAGACAGTGAGGAGTTCACGTGGGCGGCTAATATAGATTTCACTCGTATGTCAAACTCGCCTACAACGTGTCTCACTACCGCGTGTAAGTATGACGACGCCAAACTCCCCATCTCAATCAGCCTGTCTCTCGTTTACACGGTCCCTGACATGGAGCCACAAGTTCTCGGAGACGAAGAAGAGTTGCCAGAGCAACCAGGGCGGTACAACCTAACATACATCGAGTGCTCAAGCTGCTTGAGCGGCCCCGATCCCGCCACGCGCGCTTCGTTCTACGGCCTCTCCACAGAGAACGCGACCTACGTTTCCAACATACTTCTCATGCTGGGGGTGTTTCAAGCCGACTCAGATTTCTTTGACGACGATCGCAGTACCAGTTTTCGACTGTACACCACCGACAGCGGGTTGACCACTATCCTAGATGATCCGGGCTTCTCCGACGACGACGTGTACAGCCCGCTGGACGTAGCACACCTCGCTGCACGCCTCCCCATCCTGGCCGTGGTCGGTGCCGATGGCGAGCTACCCACAATGCAGCTGTCCAATGCCTCCTCAGCGGTCGTCATCATCAACACCAAGCTGGGCGTGAAATGGGACCGGGCTATCGGCGTGCTCGCGGGGATTTTGGGCGGACAGCTCATCGTCTCAGTCCTAGTGCTATATTGGTGCAGGCAGACCTTCGTGCCCGACTACCGCAGCCAGGTTTCGACGGCAAATCTGCTCAAGACCATTGTGGGATCGGCTAAACTGAGCGGCGTGGAGAAAATGTCTGAGGTGGCCACAGTTCTTGGGGCCGAGGGGAAGTCGCTGGAGTATCGGGCGAAATGGGATGCAAAAGGACAATGGTTGAGGGCTGAGCTGGGCTGGTCTTCCAAGTAGGACCCAGGTTTTGTGTTTAAAGAAAAAATAAAGAACAGAAAAACAGGATAGGCAGCGTGGATGGAGACGATATTGGGGGTTGCATACTTAGGTGTTGATACTTTACCAACAATGACACTCGCTAATTGACCACATCTCCTCTTCATTGCCCGTGTCCGCTTGTCACGACATTTATCCTCCAGTACCGACGGGAACACGGACAACAATTGGAGAATAGGTAATGTTCGTGGTAAGGACGATGGAAGAGGAACTTACATGGCGGTATTTCTACCGGAGATCTATTGCTGAAACGTTGTGTTGGTGTACATCATGGATATAAACAAACCCCTTTCCTCGCTCCCCACTCCTAATCAACCTCCGCCGCCCAAAACCGCTCCAACCACCACCCCCTCTCCCCATCCTCTCCCCTCTGCATCATCACCACCTCTCCCCGCCAACAACCCCGAATCCCCCTCCCCATTCGGGCTATTTGGCTTCAAAAAGCCGGA